ATTCGGTTATAGGAGCCCAAACGGACTGACAACCAGGACTGAGCCCAGACAGGCACAGCCTTGAACCTGTGCACCTTTGCACTCATGAGAGAGGCAGACGTTAGCCAGAGATGATAAAGGACGGATCCCACCGCCGCAAATCTCAGGGGCAGCACGGGGAGAGTCAGTTCTCTTAAGGACTTCTTTAGAGAAATGCTGACGTGTCCAAGTTCCGAAAGATGAGCTAGAGGTGACGAGAGTGAGGTGAAGTCCCTGCAACAGAGATTAGAAAAGACGGGAGGAGGCTAGGGTGGCTGAACGCGAGAGGACGCCACAGGGCCGCCCGGAGGCACCCTGGCCTTGTCCTGAGATCAGGTCATGTCATCATTGGTAATTTATTTTCTTTCTCTTTCCTTTTCTTTTCTTTCTTTTTTTTTTTTTTTTTTTGAGAAAGCAAGATTTATTGAGAGGACAGAAAAACTCCCACACTGGGAGGGAACCCAAAGGGGTGGCCTAGTGATTCATTTTCAAAAGAGCTCCCAGAGCACAGTATTAAGGCTCCTCTAAGCCTGTAACTTTTCCACAACCCCCACGTTTTCATGTGAATAGAGAAATTCTTTTGGAAATTGGAGTACAGAGTAGTCACATTTTGTGGCATTTTCCCTCTTAATTTGGGAAAGAGACATACAGTGCAGGCTTTTTTGTTCCCAAACCATCTAGTGTGGTAGATAAGCCCAATATCAGTACTTTGGCAGTGTCTCTTTATTTCACACGTTCTACTTAGTTTAGTTCCTGTGCTCATACTGCGTTGTGATGATATTATAGCGTGTGAATCGCTGAATAGTAAGCCAGATGCATCAGCCTAAGTATTAAAATAAGTGCCGTTTTGGATTTTCTGTGCTGCAATTTAAGATATGAGTCTGTATTTCTTCAGCTGAGATTTAAGTGTAATTCATTTGTTCGGTAAGCACTTAATACCTAGCTTATGTAGTTCTTTTATGTCAGCAAGGAGATTGTTTTTTGTTCCGTGGGGATGGGTTCCCGGACTCCCTATGGATGACCCAAACTCCATGGACACTCAAAGTATTTGATATGAAATAGTGTCGTATTTCCACATGACCTAAGCCCATCTACACATATGCTTTCAACCATCTCTAGATTGCCTAGAGTACCTAATACCATGCAAAGACTACATAATAGCTGCTGTTCTGTGTTGTTTAGGGAACAATGACAGGAAGAAACATCTGTACCTGTTCACTACAGATGTAGCTTTTTAGAGAATTTTAAGTCTGCGGTTGGCTGGATCTGTGGGTGGGAAACACCCTCGCACAGAGGGCCGACTGAGTGACATCTTTATCATACAACTGAGTTTTAAAGTGCATCCTCTTTTCTAATGAACTTAACCTGCATTTTCAAACCTGCCTTATCTTAGTTTCTGACTCAGCTTTGGTTGGAATGGATAACATTGTTTTCCTGATTGTCATTTTTGCAAGTATTGGATGATCTTTAAATGCTTAGGGGTACTTGTATGCATTAGGGACCTCCCAACTTAAAGGCACACTGGCTTGCATTCTTTGGCAATGTGAAGATTTTGCAAGATACTCTCTAATGTGTATCTTGAAGTTTCAGACTTTATACCTTGGGGGCTTTGAAATGTGGAAGCATCCATATGTTAAAGCACTGTCTCCTTCGCAAATTCATCTCTGTGAATGCGAGACCCAGTGTGCTACAGATGCTGTGTTGCCTCTCCCACTCGTGAACAAGGCAGAAAACGAGGCCCTGGTCATGGGTCTGACTCCCAGACACTACCTTGAGCCGTTATAACAAAATGTGTGAATTAGCATAACTCCAGAAAACATGGAGTCATAGAGGAAGGAAAATATGTAAGTCCCTGCGTGTAGCTTGGATACGCCCAGCAAAGTCCAGTGCGTTCAGAGCGTATTCACCTTGGTTAACCCCATCCCCCATTTTCTTCCTTCATGCCTTACCTCTCTTCCCAAAGGAGAAGAAGGCTGAGAGGTGGCAGTGGCCATAATTGCCACAGTGCAGTACGGGAAAGTGGAATCATTTTTCAACAGCTTGAACCACCGCCTGTTTTTGTAGGCGTGGCTCCATTTTGAGAGGTGGCGGTTGTTCGGCCTGGCTTTGCTCATGACCCCACTTCAGCCCCAAGAAACCAGCCAGAGCCCCTTTTTGCTGCTGCCGCCGCTCTCACTAGTGTCTGCCTGTTGGCTGTCGTTGCAGGCCGTGTGGGCTTCTGCAGACCCCTCCACACAAAGAATAGTGGCGCCTCAGCCCAGGTGCCTGTGAAAATCTTCCAGTCCTACTTTTCTGGGAATGTTTGGGAAAGACACCTAAGTCGCCTAGAGAATACACGTTGCCTCCAAAGAGTCTGCCCAGTTGCTCTTGGGGTTTTTCCACCGGTGGCGTAGATAACTGAATATGGGTGCAGGCAGGGATGAAAGTCCCAGAGGCCGAGGGGAAGAAGGAAGTGGAAGGTCTGTGTCGGGGGGGCACTGCCGCCGTGAAGCTCAGCCCAAGATGCTCCCTGGGGCCGAAAGCCCCCACTGGGCTGCTCTGCTGGAGCATGTCAGGGCCCAGTGTCTGGTCTTTAAGGCTGCAGATGCACCTCAGCCGCTTGCTTTTACCTAGTCTTACAGATGATAGGGCTGGATGCCCTGGTTTTAGATGTAAAAGCTGACAGGCTCTCCCTCGTTAATGGGATCAGAAATGTGGAACTATTCCAGTGATGGAACAGTCAGTAGATTGGGCGAAAAAAATGTATGCTCCCACGTTGATCAGAAATAAAAGAAACTCAGGCAAGTACCATAAAGTTAAACTGTCCAGTCACACCGTTTGCCTTCTATATTTAAGAAAAGCACCCAGATATATGTGTCTACGGTTAGTCGTCTATCACTCTCTTTTGTTGCTCTGTGGATATGTTGACATCTTTTTAAAAGTTTTTTTAGCCTTTGATGGTACAGCGGTTAATTTAATGATTTCCATGTCTGACATTGTCTTTGATCTTCTTTTTGCTTTGTTCCCTGCTTTCTGCATTCTCCCCCACCTCCCTCTTCTTCATCCCATTTTTAACTGTTGGGTTGTTTTGTCTGTGTGTCCATGTGTGTCGTGTGTCTTTGGTTCCTGCTGGCCTGGTGTTCTCTCCTCTCTTCTCGTCCCCACCCTCCTGCTGCTGTAGCCCCACAGGCTGTGGACACTGGCCGAGCAGGTAGGGGACTTTCCTGTCCATCACACCAGGGCCTCCTGCCCATCCCGCCACCTTGCCCTCGTCCTCCCGCGGGCAGACTAGAGGTTGAGTGCAGAGATTGACCAGGGGTCATGGACCCTGCGAATGAGGGTGTCGATGGCCCGGGCGGTGTCACGTCTCAGGTCTCACACGTGTAACAGGTGCTGTTTCACCATTGTGCGTGGTCAGTGGTTTCTTTGCCATTTGAGTCCGTCTCCTTTTTGCTTCATTTCCCACCTGTTTTCTGACTCGCTTTTCAACTGGCCTTCCCTGTTTGTGATTTGCATTCCTCGCCATCAACTAGTTCTCCCCTGGCACTGGCCTGTGGCTGGCTGGCTTCACGGAACAGCCATGGTCGGGAGGTGCTCTGTGCTGGGCTGGTGCTGTCTGCTTCCACCGGAGGCTGGTTTGCATGTGTTGTTCCTTTCCTCTGTCCTGATGGAGGGATGCCAGTGCCCATGATTACTGAGTGTGATTTGTTTTAATGAAATTGTCTTTTTTTGGTTTTTTTCTTATATGTAAACAATATAAGAAAACGTTGTGCCTTTGGTACAAAATTGGAATTATCTCCCGAAGAATTTTCGTACAGTTCTTCGATACATTCTGAAGGGCTCCCTTATTTTTCTGGCATGTCTGTTGTAGGTTCAGTCTTTTTCCAACCAGGATATTGTATTGCCTTCCCTAAAACGTATGTAAAATTTTGGTTTGTAACTCAGTCTTGATGAAACTGCTTTTTTCTATGGACAGAGATCACCGGTCAGCAGTCAACCCAGCATAATTTTTTAGGCGACTTATGGTGCCAGGAAAAGATTTTTCTGGACCCCTGTGTTAAATTAAATAAACAATCCAGGCTGGGTGCAATGGCTTAAACCTGTAATCCCAGCACTTTGGGAGGCCGAGGCGAGAGAATTGCCTGAGCCCACAGGTTAGAGAGCAGCCCAGGCAGCATGGTGAGACCTGGTCTCTACAATAAATAAGAAAATTAGCTGGGTGTGGTAGCGCACACCTGTAGATCCAGCTACTTGGAAGACTGAGGTGGAAGGATCGCCAGAGCCCAGCAGTTCAACACTGCAGTGGCCGTGAGCATGCCACTGCACTCCAGCCTAGGTGACAGAGTGAGACTCCAACTCAAAAAAACCCCCAACAATCCAACAACTCAGACCACAAAGCCCTGCCCAGCTGACAAGGATACACCCATCACCTCCCTGACTTAGTCAAGGACAGAAACAACCCCCTAAGGCTGAAGAACGAAGACACAAGCAGGACTCAAAGGAGCAAGATGATTCTCTCTCATCTCTTCCTCCTGAACCTGTGTCAATTCGTGTCATGTGTCTGCTTCGGTATCGTGAGCTCTAAAAATACACCTTTTATTTTTTTATGTTTGCTATGTGATGCACATAGCAAACATTTCTCAGCAAATGATGTTCTGTATCCTTGACAGCCTGCTTTTGCCAGCCAACCATTTTCTTGGCAATTCCAGCCTTTTTTTTTGGCAAAATGTGTGGCATGTCTCTTTTCTTTCTTGTTTTTCTATCTGTGATTGGGATCAAGTTGGGTGAAAGCCCAGGATCATCCTAAGTAGATGTTCCTTTTGGAATTCGAGTTATCCAGCTGAAAGCTCACAAGTAGCTTGGAGAGGCAGTAGGATTAGTGCTTTCAGTTTTATTTCTCAGTATGAGATCTACCGAAGAAATGCTGACTAGCTAGTAGAAAGCACAGACACTGAGTTCCTTCCGTGCAGACTTGAGTTAACCACACGTGTTGTTGCTTGCAGGGGACCTCAGGACCTGACCCGACCACTGTCTACGTGGATATGAGAGCCCTGAGACACGACAGGTACTGAGCGCTTTGGGGTGCTTTCCTTTTCTTTCCTTTTTGTTTCAGTTGCCTAGCATGCAGGCACTTGTCTCGCAGAAGGAGGGTCTGCGATGTTTATCCACTTCGAGTGTAACTATCTTTGAGTGAAGTGGCAGAACTGGGCATCGGCTCGAACTTTGCCAACAAAAGCCATTGCACAGCCGTGGCAGCACTCAGGCACACGTGACAGTGGGCCTGGGGCAGAGTGGAAGGCAGACGTGTGTCCTTTCCCTTGGCCGTCTTAGGCAGGTACAATTTGCCCCCCCAAGATACCTGCATTCTGCCCACATTTCTCACAGGAAGTGAAGTGGTGGTGGAGTTTCCATGAAAAGCCAAAATAGCTGTACGGCTTCCTGACTGGCCCCTGGGTGAGAATGAAAAGCCGTGTTACTGCCGCGTGCGTGAGGACGTCTCAGGAAGGGCCAGCAGGATGGGAAGACCTCTAGAGCAATGTCTGCCCTGCAGGGAGGGCCTGCTGAGATATTCGAGAGGAAAGAAGGAGTTTTGCCATTTCTACTGCAGACTTGCGCATAGGCAGACCACTTCCGTCTGTGACCAGGGTGGTGCCTGGCTGTCATTGCTTGTGAGATGCGTGTGCCCAGGGCGGGGCGTCTTCCTTCATATGTGGTCAGCAGCTACTCCACGAATGTGTTGCGTGTGGCGGATTCTGGGTCTTTGACTCTACTGTTCTCGCTCAGGCTCCCACTAGCACCGGGTGGTTGTGTCACATGACATGTGGAGAATCAGAGCCGGGGTGGCCGTGTGGCTGGCAGGCAGGGACTCTGGAGACCAGCCGGCTTGATGGAGTGGGGGCCGAAGGCTCTCCCCAGCAGATTCCTGGTTCCTGAGTGAGCATGAACGGGCCAGCAGCGGGGGCGGGAAGGAGGCCACGATGTGCGGGCCTGCTGGGCCCAGTGGTCTGCACTCAGCAGGGCATGAGCGCCCCTGAGGTGCCTGGCCACGCCTAGAGGTGTTCTTGATCGGCTCGGTTTGGCAGAGGTGCAGCTGGCACTCGTGGGGGAGGCCGGGCTGCCGCGCAACACCTGGCCCAGGACAGCCGGTGACCAGGACGCCCACGCGCCCCCGCGGAAAAGCCACGTGTCTGCCTGACCCCTGACACCCTTTGACTGTCTTCAGCGTGACAAGTCTGCCTATTGAGAAAGGGTGTGATTGGAGAAAGTGAGATGGAATTAGAGCCAGTACAGTGCGTGGCAAACAAGTAAGGAAAGTTCCACATCAGAGAATGTCATCGAGCTGGAAAGAGCAGGAGCTCTGAAACAGGAGTGGGCCTTTGTGACTTGGTAATTCTTTGACCTTGGCCAAGTCCGTAGTTCTTGCCTGGGCCTTGGCCCATGCATGAGACCCTCCTGTCCCAAGAGCCGCTTGTCACAGTTAGAAAACCACAGAAGAGCTGAGGCCACCTGGTGAAAGCCCCTTGTGAGGCGTGGAGACTGAGGGCTGGAGAGGACACCCACCCTCAAGATCACCAGCTACCGGGGGCAGAGTTCAGTCTAGAACGTTTAGAACAGTCGTTTCAGAGAGATTAAATAACTTGTGCCCGGGGCATATAGTTTTCTGAATAATGGCTTCTGGGCTTTCAGACAGTCTACTCCCCATAAAAGTTATTTGGAGAGTATCTTTTAGCTATATAACTTCCCCGAGAGGTGGAAATTAGCTCATCAAAGGACACCTGTTTGAGTAATGTTCATCAAGTTCTGTCTGTGGCCTGGCTTTCAAGACACATGAGGGACCAGTATTGTAAGAAATACCAGTGGAAACCACCGACCTTTTAGATGTAAACCTCTTTGTGTTATGAGTATTCTGGAACGTCAGAGAAGGTTGAAATTCAGGACTTAAGTATTTTTCTACCCGAAAAAGGACAGAACACCTCAGTCAGGAACCGCCTTTCACCAGTTCTTTGATCTGCCCTTTGACTGCCTTCAGTGTGACAAGTCTGCCTATTGAGAAAGGGTGTGATTGGAGAAAGTGAGATGGAATTAGAGCCAGTACAGTGTGTGGTAAACAAGTAAGGAAAGTTCCACATCAGAGAATGTCATCGAGCTGGAAAGAGCAGGTGCTCTGAAACAGGAGTGGGCTTTGGGACTTGTTAATTCTTTGACCTTGACCAAGTCCATAGTCCTTCTCAGTGACAGTTTGTAAACGAATCTGTAATAATGCGGTTCCCGGGCAACCCTTTCAGGTCCCCTCCCACTATGGGGGCTGTTCTGTTCTCTCAATAAATTCTGCTTTCTCACTTTAAAATAAATAAATAAATGAATAAATAAAGCAATGCTGTTCCCTGAGTAGGCTGGTAGCTCATTATAAGAACATTTGAAACAGACATAAAAGCGCTTAGTGAACTAGAACTTGCTGTGCAGGCCTGCGTTCTCAAGCGTGACTGTGATAAATGTTGCTCTGATGATCAGTGGCGCTGACTGTGAGTCTGGCCCTCGGCACGGATCTGGCACCCTTGCACTTGGGCTTTTGGTCCCAGTGAGGTCCCCAGAAAGGCGTTCTCAGCTCCCTCCTCTGTCAGAGAGCTGAAGGGAGTGCATCAGACGCCAGGCCTATACCTTCCTCCGCTTCCTTAGCGTTTGACTCGCAAAGAGCAAGCAAAGCCTGTCTGGCAACACATGGGAACAGCCTCCTCCAGCCAGCCCTGCCCCTGCACCCCCAGACTGCATCCCTGGAGACACCGCTGTCCCACCGCAGATCTGGGGCTAGCCCTCACTTCGCGGCATGCTTTTCTCAGGGCCGTTTCTGACTAGGCCTGCCTGCAGCCCTTCACCTGGCAGGGTGCTTCCTCTTCACCCAGTGCATAGAAGCCCGGTGGTATCTCTGCTGTTCCCTCACCCTGGGCTCCAGCCTGACCTTGCGACCCCTCCCCAGCGCCCACCCGCAGCCCCGCCCGCCTCCTGGGAGCTTGGCCCCAGTGCCGCCCTCCACTCGTGCGGACATCCTCTCCTTCCAAGCTCAGCCGAAGTGCTATCTCCTTCCTGGGCCCTCCCCCAGATACGCCCGGGCAAAAACGTCAGCCAGTTTCGAATCGCCAGCGTCACTCCCTTCCAGCCTTCATCAGCACACGTGCAACGCGCCTTGTGCCACTGCTAGTGGCGCGGGGCAGCCGGGTCAGACAGGGCAGAGACCAGATTTCCTCTCTGCCTTGAGTCCTGGGACAAGTTGTGAAGTTCTGCAACCTCCATTGCCTGGTGTGTCCATCCATTTGTGTTGCTGTAAACAACCAGCTGGGGCTGAATAATTTATGAGCAAGATGTTCATTTGGCTCACGGCCCGGCAGGCTGTGCAAGCAGCGCGGCTCAGGCATCTACATCTGCTGAGAGCCTCAGGCGGCTTCCACTTGTAGGGGAAGTGGAGCTGCTGTGAGCAGAGATCTCATGGTGAGAGGAGACAGAGAGGCGCCTGGTTCTTTTTCTTTTTTTTTTTTTGAGTTGGAGTCTCACTCTGTTGCCCAGGCTGGAGTGCGGTGGCATGCTCATGGCCACCCCAGCATCAACCTGCTGGGCTCAGGCGATCCTTCCACCTTAGCCTTCCAAGTAGCCAGAGTTACAGACACGCACTACCATGCCCAGCTAATTTTTAAACATTTATTGTAGAGAAGAGGTCTCGTCAAGGTGCCCAGGTTGTTCTCGAACCTGTGGGCACAGGCAATCCTCTCACCTAGGCCTCCCAGAGTGCTGCGATGACAGGCTTGAGCCACTGCGCCAGCCCCTGTCTCTTTTTAGCCACAGACGGGCGGGGGTGAGGGGGGTGGGTACTAATAGAGTGAGAATGAGTCCCTCCCAACCCAGGATGTGAATCTGTTCATGAGGGATGTGCCCCATGGCCCGAACACCTCCCGTTTAGCCCCAGGCTCCAACACCGGGGCTCAGACTTCAGCACAGGTTGAGGGGCAGACATCCAGCCAACAGCACTGCTTAGAATGAGCACAGTAACCCCAGCCTTTCCAGTCGCGGACACAGAGCTCCAGCAGCTGGACGGCTGTATTTGGTTGGTGGCAGAGGACTTGTCTCTTCTGTTCCACAGCACCCAGAGGTGCTGACTCCAGAGAGGGCTGGAAGCTCAACTGATCAAGGCCAGCAGCCGGGACAGGGAGGAACAAGAGCCGCCAAAAGCCTTGAGCCTTTTCCTTCCGTGTCACCGCACCCATAAAAGTGAGGTCGTGGTTTTCTCACTGCAGCTGCACCAGGGTCTGTTGCAGGATCGATTGGTTTTCCTGTTGCTTTAATGGTGCATTGACTTGAGAGCCCAGGATACCTGCTCAGTTATCATGCAGTCATCCTCAAGCAGGTGAGCTTATTAGTATGTGCATGCAGTTTCCTTGAAAGAGGAGAGTATGTGCATGTCTGTATAAGAAAGAAGACTGCATAACTGCTGTTGTGGAAGTGACTGGTCAGATAGGTCCATTGGCCGCTGCTCTTGGTTTTCTGCCTCTGTTTCTAATGCCCGTGTTATCCTTGGAGCCGTGGTGTCTGGGACCCATCTGTGTCCATGGCAGATTCCTGTGGAGATTGTTCCCACTTCGTGGAATGAGGAGAGGCGCTCTCCTGGCTTCTGAAATAAACGTAGGTCCCAGAAATGATGAAATTATGTTGAGACTATTTGAAAGTGACTGTTTCTAAAGCATTCTTTACACTATAGTATTTAAAGTGAATTCACTGTCCCGCAATGACTTCCAATTTGGTCTTTCCTTTAGTACTTGACTTTTCCAGAGTTCAGATAGGAGATAAATAAATATCTTCGTGGCATTCAAAGAAATACTCCTAGCAGTTTGTCCGATCTGCGAACACAGTCTTAATATAAAGCCCTAGAATGAAAACTCCAGTGCTTGTGACCTGAAGTCATTCTCAAGGGGTGTTGTCAGGAAAGCACAGATGTGAAACGACTTCCCCACCGGCGGCTAGCCAGGCAGCGCGGTCCTGGGAGCAGTGGGCATAGGCGAGAGCAGGTCAATAGACTGG